TTCCCTACAAGGTTATTCTGATCTCAGAACTAGGTTATGTATTTAGCAAGTTAACTTGAGTGGACATAGGTTATTTTTTTATTTTTTATTTAATTTTTTAAAATTTTATCCTTTAATATTTGATTGCTTCAATTTGAGTTTTAGATATTTTTTTTATAAGGTTATTGCATTTTCATTTGATGTTTTTGCTTTGTTATCAAATACTAGGAGGATATATTTCTATAATATTGGCAAAAAAAACTTTTAGTTGATCATTTAGAATTTTTTTCTTAGTTTGATTTGTTTACATTGTTTATTTTTTTAATTATATTATTAAATTAACCATATTTATTGAACTAAATCAAGTTAATAACCTAAGTCTTTGATTATTTTTTTCAAAAAGAAACACTAACATCACCTTAACATCTTTTTTACATTGAAAAAAACTTTGCCCTAGTAATATAGTTCAGGTAAATAATCTAGTTACAGCTAATCACGTGGCCACAAAGTCCCACTGGGATTCATATTCCATAAGATTGCTCCAATATTCATTCGATGGTGTGTGGTAGGCTAGACATGTGAAGCCCATTAATTGATTATGTCGATGGTTGTGCTTTGTGAAGGTCCGTCAGGCTTGTTCTCCTGTTCAGATCTTAGCAAAAAACTATTGAGTGATCGATCTACATGAGCAATTTTGTTTGTTGCGTTAGCCATGTTTCTTATTTGGCATGCTGTTAGGGGCATTGGAAACCTTTTTATACACATGAATTACTCGCTTCAGGATGAGGAAAGTTTCATAGCTTGTGGATTTGATTGATTCCCAATGGAGAAAGAAAATCACTCAGAATTTATTTCTGTACGAGTCAATACAGAAAAGACATGCCTGTTGCATATGGAGAAAGTGAACGATTGTTGGGAAAAGTTTTCTCACTTGCAGGAGATAACTTGGAGGCCATCGTGCAAGAGATAAACCCACTCCCTTTCAGTATACTCAAACCTTGCATTCTAATTCAAATAGAATCTTTCCACAATTCAATGTCAAGAAGGCCATCGTTACGCACTCATCATGGTGCTTTGGAGACCAGAGGCAATTTTCACTTGTTGACCTTCTCCATATGCTCTACAAAACTTCCTTTCCGGGATCCTTGCTCCTTGCTTGCGGAGGAGAAAGCATCTAGCAGTGATAATGAGAACTCTCCTGCAACAAAGGGTGGAGAGTTTCTAAAGAGGATTTGTGATAAAGGCACTATGAAGGAGAAACGTGGAAAGCCAGTGGTTGCTTCAGATAGACCTGGAAAAGGGGACAACCTACACAAGCACAATATCCACCATATCGACGGTGCCAAATGTATGTCATACTTGAAGATAAGCAAGAAGCAGCACCAGCTTGTTAAGAGCCTGAAGCAATCCCAGTAAAAAAAATTCAATCTAGACCTTTTTAACTGTGCGTTAGGTGACCTTGATAATTTGCATGTACAACCATTTAAAGAATTTGTGAAAGAGGAACATAAGAAGTTGCAGGAGCATTGGATACAATTGGCAAACGAAGATAGTTCTGCAGCATATATATGCAGGCTGTGTTTCAGTCTCATATTGATTAACACACTGTTTTATTTCAATAACAAATTAAAGCTTACAACATAAATAAATGCTTAATACACACCCTTTTTATTTCTCTCTTTCTTTCTAGTGTTTTTCTTAAATCTCTCCACATACAATTGCATAAATTTAGCTGCCTATTTATACACGAAATCAAAACAAGAAAATTCAACCTTCAAGTGTGAAGACGGCTGTGGCCGATGGTGTGAAAGCAGCTGTGGCCGACGGTATGAAAGCGGTTGGCGGCCGGATAGTTGGGCGGTGACAGCTGATGGTTGTCTTCCTTGACCTTCTAGATTGAGTTTACTTCAACAAATCTCCCCTTTAAACTCAATCAAGGGATGCCATTCCAAGCATGAACTTCAATATGATAAATACTTATCTCTTCAATGGCTTTGTAAAGATATCTGCAACTTGATCATCTGTCTTGCAAGATATATATCAGCATGACTTCTTTGTTCTTTACATGTTCTCGGATAAAGTAATGACGTGTATTAATGTGTTTACTTCTTTCATGATACACCAAGTTCTTTGCCAATGCAATCGCTGATCGATTATCGATATAAATCTCTGTAGGTTTTTCTTGAGGAAATCCTAAATGATTCAACATATTCCTTAACCATATTAAATGGCATACTGCTGAGTTGGCAACAACATACTGAGCTTCATAGCTTGATAATGTTACTATCGATTGCTTTTTGGATGACCATATGAAAAATGTATCTCCCATGAAAAAGACAAACCCTGTTGTGCTTTTCCTTTCATCCAAATTTCTACCCCAATCATTATCTAAGTAGCCAGTAAGATTGAAATTTGTACTTAAGGTATAAAACATACCTTTATTTATTGTGCCTTTGATGTAGTGAAGAATTCTCTTGGCTGCATTCATGTGAGACTGGTCTGGCTTCTCTATATATCTGCTGATCAGCCCGACTCCATATAGTATATCCGGTTGGGTACATGTCAAGTACCTTAAGCTTCCTACTAAGCTTTTGAAGTAACTTGGATCAACATTTCTAATTTTACTCTTCTTTAATTCCACTCCATTTTCAACTAGAATTGATATCGGATTACAACTTTCCATCTTGAACCTTTCAATAATATCTTTGGTATAACTGCTTTGGGATACAAAAATCCCTTCTTCTTTTTGCACGACTTCTAAACTAAGAAAATGTGTCATCAAACCAATGTTTGTCATCTCAAACTCCTGTACCATGCTCTTTTTCAAGTCTTCAAACATGGTAGGTTTGTTGCATGTGAAAATCAAGTCATCATTATATAGGCACGTAAATAATATGTTGCTATCTGCTTCTTTCTTCACATAAATTACGTGTTCATATGGACATTTTTTAAATCCATTATCTTGAAAATACTTGTCAATTCTGGTATTCCAAGCACGCAGAGCTTGCTTCAAATCGTAGAGGGCTTTCTTCAACTTGTATGCTTTGCCTTTATTTTCAGCATCAATGTATCTAAGTGGTTGTTCAATACAGATCTCTTCTTCTAGAAAGCCATTCAAAAATGCTGACTTCACATAGAGTTGATAGATCCTCCATCCATGTTGTGCAGCTAGTGAGATCATCAGTCTGATTGTCTCTAGCCGGGCTATTGGAGCAAATACTTCTCCATAGTCAATGCCTTCTCTTTGTTTGTAGCCTTTTGCCACTAATCTTGCTTTGTATCTTTGCACTTCTCTTTTTGCATTCTTCTTTGTCTTATAAATCCACTTGACACCTATTGCTTTCTTGTTTTTTGGTAGATAAGTCAACTTTTAGGTATCATTCTTCTCAATGGCATGTATTTCTTCATCCATTGCTTCTATCCACTTTTCTTCTATGATAGCTTCATTAAAGCTAAGTGGATCACTATCTGCAAAGAAACAAAATAGAGTTGTATCTTCCATGATTTGAGTGACATCGTGTAGCTCGTCTAGATTTCTCATCCTTCTTGGTCCTTCTGATGAGGATACTGATGATGGTGTTGATGATATTCTAGTGTGTTTCTCTTATTGAATATAGAGAATCTATGTACCAAACTTTGTGGCTCGTTTGCCAGTACTATCAAACCTTCTGCAAGTACTGTTAGTACTTATTCGTCTTCAAGGATCAAATAAGTGCTGATCCATTTAATTGCTTCTTGATCATCATTCCATTGCCAAGTTTTATCTTCTTCAAAGATAACATCTCTACTCATAATTACCTTTTTTTTGTGATGGGATTATATAGCTTGTATCCCATCCTTCTCTCACCATATCCTACAGAGATGCATTTCTCGCTTTTATCATCGAGTTTGATCCTTCTTGCATTTGGGATCTTTGCATATGTCACACAACCAAAGACTCGAAGATGAGTAACACTTGGTTTGTGACCACTCCATGCTTCTTGTGGAGTGACTGCTTGCAAACTTCTAGTTGGGTAGCAATTCAATAGATACACTGCACATGATACAACTTCAGTCCAGTATTGCTTGAGCAACTTCTTTGCTTTGAGTAGACTTCTTGCCATGTCAAGAATCATTCGATTTTTTCTCTCAACTACACCATTCAGCTATGATGTATAAGCTGGTGTTGTCTGATATCTGATGCCTTGTTGTGTACATAAGGCTTCAAAGTCATTTACTGTATATTCTCCACCTTGATCAGATCTTATAGCCACTTTGCTTCTCAATAATTGCTTTAAAATCTTTAAAATAATTGAACACTTATGACTTCCTTTTCAGAAAGTATATCCAGGTCTTTCTGCTAAAATCATTAATGAAAGTAAGGAAGTACCTATTTTTTCTAGTCGGCATAGGCTGTATTAGACCACATATATCTATGTGCACTAACTCCAGTAGCTTGTTTGCTTTTCAGTTGACTTCTTTGGCAAAACTAGATCTGTGATGTTTGCAGAGGACACAACTCTTATAGACTTCTTTTAGATGATCAATGTGGGGCATACCTTTGACCATCTTCTTACTTCCTAGCATTTTCAGACTTGTGAAATTCAGATGTCTAAAGCCATTCTTCACTATTAGTGATGGCACTCAAACACTTTGCTGCATTATATTGGATGTTTAAAAGAAACATCCTATTCTTGAACATTTTCACATAGGCAATTAATCTCCCATTGTAGTTTGTAATTGTTAGATGACAATTCTTCATGAAAAATGTATAGCCTTTCTCCAGAAGTTGACCTATGCTCACCAAGTTCTGCTTTATGGCTAGGACATAATAGACATCAGCGATGTAGTATGATCGTCATTCTTCAATTTGAATGGAATGAATGAAACTTTTGAGGTATCTCTAAAGGTGACTGGACCTTGTATGGTCTCATCTAGATCACCAAACAAATCTTGTTGGCCACACATATGATTGCTGGCTCCAAAATCAAGATACCAAATATTCTCTTGATTCTTGTTAAGTCCTTGTTGAACAATAATACAGCTGCTCCTCTGTTATTGGCATCCTCCTCTGCATAGTTGGTATATTCACGTACCTCTAATGGAGTTTTCTTTTGACATTCAGTGTTATAGTGCCCCAATTGATTGTAATTATAACACTGAATATTCTTCTTGTCACGGTTATTGTAACCACCTCCTCTTCCTCTAAGAGTGAATGCTTGTTGTCCTTGACCTCCTCTGATGGTGTTTCTACCACCTCTTCCTCTAAAACCTGTATTCTAAGAACCTCTGCCTTAAAATTGTTGAAATCCTCCTCGTGTTTGTTGACTTTTTCCTCAAGTAGTATATCCACTTATTGAAGTCTCCCCTTACTTGTATCTGTTTTTGAGAGACAACTTTGCTTGTAAGGCACGCTCAATTGCTTTATCTCTATTTCTTTTTACAATCTTTTGTTCATAAGCTTGCAAAGAACTCATAAGCTCATCCACTGTCAACTTGTCCACTTCTTTGGACTCTTCAATAGCGACAACAACAAAATCAAATTTTGGATTTAGGGATTACAAAATTTTCTCAGTAATTCGAGCATCTGTGATGGCTTCTCCATTTTTTCTCATCTGATTGACTATCACCATAATTCTTGTGTGATAATCAAAAATAGATTCTGAGGAATTCATTTGTAATAATTCAAATTCACCTCATAAAGATTGGAGACAAATCTTCTTGATTCTGTCAGCACCTTTGTATTTTTGTTGGAGAGCCTCCCACATTTCTTTTGATGTTTCTGCGGAAGCAATGATTTCAAATATGGCTACATCAAGACCTTGATAAATGATGGCCTTTACTTTGTTGTCTTTCTTTCTATTAACTTTGAGGACTTGCTTCTGTGCCTCTTGTAGAGCATCTTCTGATTCTTTGGACTCTGGTTCGTCATAACCATATTGCATAATATCTATACACTCTTGTGAACTAAGGAATGCCTTTAATCTGATGCACTAACTATCGTAGATGTCTTTGGTCAGCTTCAAGATGAGTGTTTATGTATTTTCTAGTCATTTTGCTCTTGGAATGACTATATCGCCTTCTATGAGTTGAATTTGGCCAAACAGACACTGTAAATCAATCCGGAATGGTCCAAATAGTAAGGAACTAGCCTGACTTTGTTGAAAATGGGTCAGAAATGGGTTGAACTGGTCAAAAAACCAATTATGTACGTCGGGAGGTTCACTAGGGTTGAACCGAGAATATTATATCGGCTTGGCTGCGACTCGACTTGGCAGCTCAGCTCAGTGCGAATATGGCATGTGTGTGACTCAGTCGTCTTCAACCTCGACTTGGGCGACAGTGTAGAATCTTCAGGCTGTGCGTGTGGGCTACCGCTTACTCCGATGAGGCTTATTTTTCCACCAGTGAGTTCATATGGATGAGCTCTACACTGTGGAATGATCAAAACTTGTTTTTGACAACTTTGAAAATTCAGATATATCCCAAAATACCTCTGTTTTCTGACGAACGGGGCTCTGATACTAATTGTTGGTAGGAGAAATCATTGGTGGTGGTTTTGAAATATTCAGGGGGGGGATAAAACACACTGTTTTATTTCAAGAACAAAAGCTTACAACATAAACAAAAGCTTAATACACACTCTCTCTCTTTCTCTATTTCTTTCTAGTGTTTCTTTTAAATCTCTCCACATATAATTTCATAAACTTAGCTGCCTATTTATACACGAAATCAAAATAAAAAAATTCAACTTTCAAGTGTGAAAGCAGCTGTGGCTGATAGTGTGAAAGCGACTGGTGGCTGGTAGTCAGATGATTGGGCGGTGACAGCTGGTAGTTGCCTTTTTTGACCTTTTAGATTAAGTTTACTTCAACATTAACTACTTCGATGAGGCAAAATATGATTTGGTTTGTAAGGGTGGTGTTATTTTTACACTTGCTAAGGATAATCCCAAAGTCTTTGTTGTGGTTAAGACTGTCGAAGAAGGTAGCTGGACACGGAGTCACAAATCAAATTGGCCTGCTTCATACAAAAAAATGATGCAAATTCATTGCTGTACACTGAGTGCCAAATTATTTTAGGTTTTAAAAAGCTTTCAATATAACACCAAATCTGAAAAAAATTCAACTGAACCCATCATTATTTTCACATTTAATTTCTTTTCAAAAAAACACATAATAATTTCGTTATCAAAATCATAACGGTCACTGCAAAAATATTTTCTAAAAATATGAGAAGCTATTTCTGCTTTAGCTGCTACATGTACATCATCCCTCGTGTTCGATGAGCTGCTATCATCATCAGTTCCTTCCTCTTCTTGCACCATTAGTACACCAACCCTCATTATTTGAACAACCGGATTATCTGTAAACACTGAAACACTGAATTCATCACCGGCATCAAACCCAGGATCATTGGACCCAAATTTCCAATAGCTAAGCCATAACAAATCAGATTTTTCAGCTGAAAATTCTATCGGAAAAATCGAGGGGTAAAAAACCCAGACTCTACCCTTGGTATTGTTTCTGATTTCAAGATAAACATGAAGATACGGATTGGATACTGGCGTAGCAGAAAACCATGTGAATAGATTAAAGCCACATATCTGGTGTGTAGCAGGTGAGGATATTTTGAATGGCAAATGCTCTTCAAACTCCTTCTGAATTAGCCATTCCTCCTCATGAAACCCCAACATCTCATTTTCATCATATTCAAGGACAACATTGAATCTGTTGCCCTGAAGTTTCCATCAAAGCAGAATTATAAAATTAGCAAAGGGAAAATTTCCTAAATATCTAAGAAGTACAAATATGTAGAGTTGAAATACAGTAAAATGGGCGAGGGTGGGCCTGAAATCTCCACGTCTGCATTTGAACGCTGCCATTTCCATTATTCTCAACAAGTGTGAGTCAACCTTTTGGATTAATTCTAGCTTAATCAAATCTTGGATGTGGACTAATTGATCACAATCACGAGCTATGGTGAAAGGGATCAGATTTGCAATTCTTTGCAGCGAATAACAATAGGACACGTCTAACCCAACCAAACTGGATGGAAGCTCTAGGAGTGTTTGAAGCATTTTGCATTTCGCTAAAGAAAGGTAATTGAGTGTACCAATGTCCTTAATGCTTAGTGTCGTCAAAGAGTAAATATTCAATTAACCATTAGTGTGGCAATGTGAACGCGCGGTGAGTAAATATTCAATTAACCATTAGTGTGGCAATGTGAACGCGCGGTGAATCTGGAATTTTTCATTTCTGAAAACCTGGAGGGAAAGAATGGCTTCAATGGAAGAGATGTAATGTAAGATGTGCTTGCAACAATTCTATCACTTTGATGCAACCTGCGTCCCTGATGATGCTCTAAATCCATATTCAAGCTCTCAAGTTTTGAGCAACCACACAAAACAAGCTCTTCAAATTGAATTCAATATTTTTATTTTTACAATAAAAACATCTATATGTAGGAAAACATGTCCATTTATTTTTTTAATTAAACATCTTAGAAACAAAAAACATCTATATTTTATTTTTACAATAAAAACATCTATATTAATTTATTGTGAAAATTTAATAAAATCAATTGATTTTTTAATTAAAATGAAATTTATTCAAATTATAAAATCCTTCTAATCATATTTTCAAGACATGTACATTTTTTTATTACAAGTGAACTTGTCTCGAGATGATATATATAGAAACAAAAAAAAATTACCTATCAAATTTTATTATGTATTATTTTTATTTTATTTTTACATAAAAAATTAAATAAAACAAATAAAATAACATGGAAAAGAAATGAACCTTAACATATAATTTGTTTTGGCATATAAAATAAGATATTTAATATATCTTATTATAAATAGAATATTCTATAAAAAAAAATTAATTAATAAAATAATATCATAAAATGTAAAAGTCCTTACAAATATTTATAAATAAAAGATCTCAATGCTACACACCGAAAGGAGGACGATTACGGTTGAAATCTAAAAAAGCAAACCCTCTACTTAATGAAGCCTATAATAATACATGTTCTAGATCTTTCTTTGCAAAATACCACCAACCGACATTGCCATCACTGTATTTACCATGGAAAGCACAATAATAATTTCTAAAAATACGAGAAGCTATTTCTACTCTGGCTAAGTGTGCATCATCATCATCATCATCGCTACTGTTGGGGGCATTGATAACTTCATCCTTTGAGTGGATATCATCATCATTTCCTTCCTCTTCATGCAACCATAGGACACCAATCGTACTTATTTGGATAGCTGGATCATGTGGACGCAATGAAATACTCACGTCGTCACCAGTATCAAATGGAGGACCACCAAACCGTAATTTCATGTGCAATAGTGATTGGAATTCACGAACACCACGCGCGTACCTCATAGGGAAGACAAAGGCTTGACAATGCAAGGATCGACCACTGGTATTGTTTCTGATTTCAATACCAACTTCATCAGAGCGACTGTACTCTGACGTCACACTAAACCTTGCGAACAGATTAAAGCCACGTATCCGGTGTGCAGGAGGAGGTGAGGATATTTTGAATGAGAAGTTATCTACAAACTCATTCTGAATTAGCCATTTATCCTCTTCTTCCTTCTCATAAAACCACCTCGACATCTCATCTTCATCAAATACGACAATGTTGAATAAGCCACAAAAAAATGATATCTGTACCACCAAAACAATGTATATAAAATGAGTCGAAAAGTATTCAAACGGAGATTTCCAAACAATAAAATGGGTGAGGGAGGACCTGAAATCTCGATGGCTGTATTTGAGCACGAGCCGTTTCCATTATTCTGAACATGTGAGAGTCAAACTTCTGGATTAATTCTTGCTTTATCCGATCTTGGAACTCGACAAATTGATCACAACCATTTGCTATAGTCCAATGGTTTAGATTTGCAAGTCTTTGCAGTGAATAGCAAAAGGACACATCTAACAACCGCAAATGGGATGGAAGCTCTGGGACTGCCTGAAGCATTTTGCAATTTCTTAAATATAGAAAATCGAGTAGACCAAGATCCTTGATGCTTTCTGGAAGAGAGCGCATTGTTGTTCCACTTAAATCTAGTCCCGTCAAGGAGCGTGGCAGCGCAAACAAGCTATATCTCAACATTTTCCTCGCTGAAAACCTCGAGGGAAAGAATAGCTTCAATGGAAGAGATGTAATGAATGATGTACTTGCAACAATTCTATCACTTTGAAGCAACTTGCGCCCCTGATGATGCTCTAACTCCATATTCATCAGACTGTCAAGATTTGAGCAACCATCTAAAACCAACTGTTGAAGTGAATTCAATCTACTCATTTCTTCTGGAAGCTCCACAAGACTAGTACAATTTCTTAGATTTAAGATTAACAATCTTTGTAAATCACCAATAGATTCGTGAATTTCAACCAAACGGATGCAGTCTTCAAGTATTAGCTTTTCAAGGCCTGGAAGACCCGAGAAAACTGGGGTTCTAATGAGATCACGAGAGTGACGGAGATCAAGAATTTTCAATTTTGGAAGAAACTGTAAAAGTACATGAATTTAGTTGAAAACGAGAGAGATAGCAACAAAGAGAGACTTGATACATACCGGTTTGCTTTTCCAAGCATCAACTAGACAGCTTCTTGATAGATCAAGAACCACCAGCTTCTCCAAACATACGTGATTCGGTATGGAGCTCAAAGACAATCCATGCCAACATAACCATATCAAATTCTTGGGAAAGTGCTCATAACTTCCATGAAAATTAGTGTAGTTTAGTTGGAGAAATTTTACACTTGTCATCTTTCTAAAAACATCTGTGCTGAGGATAGAAAACAAACTTGTTTGGCTAGTTTGTAATTTTCCCCCATCAGAAAAATTAGAAAGCCATTGTTGAAAGAAGTTAAGCCTGCGGCGTTTGCGACAAACCATTGAATCAGTACAGACAACTTCTGCATAATGATCTTCCATTAATGCATGCATATCAAGAGTAAGGCCATGCAATTTTTCAGCATCCTGCATAATAATATTGAAAGTACATGAGAAAGGAGAGTAAATGAGAGAATATGTGAAGGCAAAACAAATCATTTAAGTAGACATATAAAAAAATTGAGCTACTTACAGTAGTTCCTTTCAAAACAGTAAAAGCATCCTCGTGGCGCCATATTCTTTGACATTTGGGTGATTCTTGACGAGCAATTTCCCTTCCCATATCTCTTACTAGTTGATGCATCCACAACCTTTTATCAATGTTGATTTCAACAAGACATCTATCGATGAGAATGTCAATCCCAAATCTTGCACCTTTATCGAGCCCATCCAGTATCCTAACTGCATCATCCACATCCATTCCATTGAAGAAACATGAGATATCAAGGAATAAGTTCTTCGGATAATCACCATCAAGAAAATCATAACTTATTTGAAGAACCTTTTGAACATCAAAATTAGGAATCATTTCCATTTGTTGTAATGCGCTTTCCCATAGTTCTCTTCCTTTCCCGGACAATGAAGAGCCAATAACTCGAAGAGCTAATGGAAGTCCATTACAATGACGTACTATTCTCCAAGAGTCTTCTACAAAACCATCAACAGGGTCAGCTTGTCCAAAGGCATTCCAACTGAAAAGCTCAAGTGATTTTTCAATATCTAGCAGTTTAACTTTGCACGCGAACCACTCAATATCATTAGCTGAAAACAGACCCTTATTTCTGGTTGTTACAATGATTTTACTTCCTTTACAAAGCCAATTTTGCATGCCAATGATTTTATTGAATTGGTCCCTTTTGTCCACATCATCTAGAACAATAAGAGTTCTTCTGCAACATATTGCATCCTTAATCTTCAGAATTCCTTCATCTTCATCATTTATCTCATCAATAGTCTTTTTTAGGATGTCGGAAAGAAGTTGCCTCTGTAGGCAAACTATATCCTTTGATCTAAAATTTGACAGGAAGCTCTTTCCTTCAAATTTATAAAAGTTCTGGTTAAAAACACTCTTAGCTATGGTTGTCTTTCCAACTCCACCAATTCCATAAAGTAAAGCAATGGCAGCACCATGGGATCCATCTTGCAACCATGAGTTGATATCTTGTACTAGAGGATCTCTTCCAATGAAATGAGGGGGTAAATGAAACATTTTTTGATCCAAATTCTTTAAGACCTTCTCCACAATAGATTGGACAAACGGTGCCTCGTACCTACATCAAAAAGTAAAATACAATGTACGATAATTAGCAGTCTCTCTATAAGCAATAGAAATAAACAACATTTAGCTATGAAATTAAAGCAGGTTGTGTGTCAATGATCTGATAGTTAAAACCAAATCATGATTGGAAAAAAAAAAAAACAACGAAGAAATCATAAGTATTTTATTTTATTTTTGCTATATGTTTTCTAATCAGTATACTTAACTGAAAGAAATTAAGAGTTCACGACCAGCATTCTAGTCTTATGCTATGTCTAGTTTCATAAAGAGACACAACTTACCCATCTCCTAAGACCATTCCAGCTAAATCAGCCACTTCCTTTAAAGCAATCCTCCACCCATTCACCCGCTCCATCTCCTCGTTGAAGCTCTTTTCATGTTCCACAAATGCTGCAGCGAAGCTCCCTGTTTGACGTCCGACTTGGGATGGATCCACATCATAGAATACTGGCAAAACTATGCAGTCAGCATTCCTCTTACGTTCCATGATCATCACAAGTTCATCGAGGCACCATCTCGACGAAGCATAGTCTTTGGAGAACACGATTATCGATATTTTTGATTGTTGGATTGCCTTCTGGAGCTCGAAATCTATATTCTCTCTCCGAATTTCATTATCATCTCTAAATGTGTGAATCCCTGCTCCAACCAGGGCCGTGTAGAGGTGATCGGTAAAGTTCTTGCGGGTGTCTTGACCTCTAAAACTCAAGAACACTTGATATTTACAATCAGGAAACCGTGAAGAGTAGGATTCTTGATACTTCCCAGCAGCCATTTCGACTCTAGCAAAGATAAGACTTTTCAAAGATCTGAACACAAAAAAAAAAGAGGATTGATGTCGATAGTTCAAGATCGACACAGCACACCAATAAGCTGAAGTATTCATATATTATTATCTTACTTTTTCTTTAAAACAATTTTCAAGTTATTTCC